TCACCACAGTACAACCCAGCAGAAGTTAACCCTCTCTTCCCTATTCATTCAGTTAACATACACAAACTCTCAGCACGGTTTATATGATGTTAAAGGTCTCCTATATTTCTCTACGTAACTAAGTGAGTAATTCGAGACCACAAACTGACCAAACCGCAAGGTACCCTCTCCGCAGTTGTGATCCAAGGCTTGCGCTGCAGAGACGTTACAGTTGATCTTTAAAGCCACCACATAATTCCTTTATTTATCTGCCATAAGCAGTTAAACATCATTGCTATGATGAGTCACCAGCTTCAGGATGTATACTATACATACAATATTAAAGAGATGTGGAATCTAAGAAAAGCAGCTATGCTATGATACAGCAAGCATCTTCCATACTGCTCCAGGCACTCAGTCCTCAGTACTGACACAACCTGTGACTCCCAGATACTGTTACTTTAAATAGCAACATGCTGCAGTGCTACACTTACTAGATATGCATAGCTTGATTCCTATTCCTATTGATTCCTGAAGTGTCCAGGTTCTAATTCTATTCTGTAAAATATATTATACTGTGGATAAGAATTACAGATCAGCCCCATCCTAAACTAATATTTAGTTTTGTGTGTTTTAATCACATGCTGGCTTCTTATATTGTATATCCTTTTTTTTTTTTTTTTTGCAGAAAGGAGTTGATTAACAAGTTTCAATTAGCTTATGGAATGTGGAAAAAAATATTATTTGCAAAGAATACCCGATCACATGCAAGGAACAAAACAGTATTTTTGCTTGACATGATTGGAAGATGGAACGTCTTCCTCATTCACTAAGCTATGGGAAAATTCCCTTACAAAGTGAACAGCCTTTAATGGAGTCATGACAGGAGACAAGATAAATAAAGTCTATTGAGGCTACTATTGGAAAATCTCACCGCTGAGATTTTTGAGAGACACAAGAAGCCGGGAGGTATTTTAGCCCTCATGTAACATTTAATATAGGAATGTAGCTGTACAGAATATAGAGTGTGTTGTCACCGGAACAATACCCCAGCAGATTTATAACTGATCTGCTACTGAGACATGGATTAGCCCAAAGCTTGCACGTAATGATGGTCCAGCATTAAAGTGGGACTATGGGCAAAATAAAAAAGTTACACATATGCTGCAATCTGTCTGAAGCATTATTGCAGCAGTTATTTGTTTTTCTAAGTCCCCCTATGACATAGTTTTATTATCTGTTGATCCTGCCAGTGGATTGGCTATTTTCACACTAGAGTGACAACGTTGTTTGTTCTGCAGTGACATCACATTCCAGAATTGTGACCCTGCTGACAAGGGAGTCTTAGACAGACATGTCGTTTTAAAAGATAAGCATATTAATGCCCAAATCCAGCAATCACTTTTTAAGCAGTTACAGCAAAAGGTTTTTTTTTTTTATATTTAATTAAACAAAAGCTTACCATTGTAAGCACCCCTGGCAGTGTTATATGGTTTGTTCCAACCTTTGTAACTAAAACATTTTCTGGGCAGCTTGGCCTGTTAAAGAAAGTCAAAAAATAACGGATCTACTGTCAGTATTAACAGGTATTAAAACTATGTTACGGGGGGACGCAGAAAAACAAAAACTGTTGTGTTAATGCTAGTAATAGATTGTATCATATACTGTATGTTTTTCATTTTGCTTCTAGCTCCACTTCATGCAAGTAGTTGAATAATTTGCCATATTAAAAAAGAAAAGTTGTCTTATACCCACCTAATATTGCATTTGGAATTCTACAGTTTTCGTTGATATTCCTCTTTTTGGTTTATTGCAGAATCACTCCCTTATGCTACTATTACCCTCTTTTCCTATGCTAAGCTGCACCCTATGGACCTGCCCTTCCATTGCCCTACAATAATGGCAGTCAAGTGGACAATAATGCTGCTCTCCTTGTAAAGTGGGACATTGTGTACTTAGAGTTGTACTCAGCCAGAGATGTGTTTCACTCATTTGTACCTTTTTTTCCCATTTACACAGCTCTCCACTCTTAAAAACCACAAGATTTCTATTTTGGTACCCATGCCATCACGATGATTAAATGTAACATGATCACACTGACAGGAACGGGTGGCTAACACAGTGAGATGATGGCAGCAAACAGTTTCAGATGAGTTCAGCTGCTTCTCTATCAAGGTACATACCGCTTGTCTATTCTGAGTTTTTCTCTAAGGGTTCCATTTAAAAAGCAGCGGTATGGCTATACTGCGGCCATACCGCTGCTTCAAAAAAGTTGCTTGACACATTTATAAGGCAATTGATGTACTTTACAAATGTGCATTGCACTTTGCAGGATTTGGGAGTTCAAAGCTGGCAGAGCACAAGAAACATGAATGGGAGTTAAATAAAAGAGCCAGGTCCAGTGACATGACCTGTGAAAGTCACATTACTGGCTCTCCTCCAAACACGTGCTTTCTGCTGCATTAAGCAGCAACAACTCTAAGAACTACAGCAGGCTCAATACTGCTACTTGCACTTAAGGAATGGCCTGCAAAATGCAGGTGGTTTTCTTAAGTACTATGGAGCATGAAAGAAAGAATAGTGATATCTGCTCCTGAAATCAGCTCCCAAGTGTAATTCAACAATGAGCTACAATGTCATGTGAAAATGTTAGACAAAAATAAATATTTTTCACCAAAAACTTCCATATAGTTATTACGTATCCCTATTAATTCTATTATAATTATACCTATTACCATGTTATCAGACAAAGTTGCAAGTGAAGATTATGTATTCAGCCTGTCACAACCCTTTAAAAGCACTTTGATAGATGAGGCACAATTGTTTAACTAAACAAGCAAACTTAGAACATCCCCTGCAGCTCAGTGTGTGATTAATCACGCTGCTTGTCCAAATAAAGCGAGTCCCATCTGTAGTGCTTCTTTTACCATACTGTCCACATTAAATATTCATATGATCAGCAACTGAACCAAATGATTGTACATATTAAGTATTTACATTTATGATGCAGCAACTACTTGCTAATTCTTCAAAGTCCACAGAAAGTACTGTGTATATGTTGCAGAAAGTTTGATGCATTATGTCCATAACTTGTCTGTAAAGGTATTCTTGAATTATGCTGATGCATATGGTACAACACGTGGATGATTCTTGTAAACTGTACATACATCATATTCATGGCAAGCTTTCTATTTCTTGAGGATTTAATCTTATATGTTCGTATAGTACATATATACAGAGTTCTGCTTGTAATTTACTTGTTACATTACATTACTGTAATAGCTGCAATTCAGAGATTATAAGAATGCAAATCATTGTTAGGCTTCGTTCACGCATTAGCGGTTTTCAACGTTCCAATGTAGCTTTTTCACACCTGCGTGAAAATGTGCATTGCGAAAAAAGTATAAGTGCGATATTCTGGGTGACCTCCGCGCATTCTGGCTATAGTAGTAGCTGCAAATGTGCAGAAACCACGCATATGTAAAAATGTGCACGATTTCATGCCATGCGGCAAAACTGCGCTGAATTTTAAACCGCTATGTGTGAACGGGGCTTTACTGAAGTCTAGCTAAACAGCTAAATATACAGATATCGAGTGCAAATTTTAAAACCAGCATCAGTTTCAATATACAGGCTAACTGCGCTGTTGTTACCACATACCTAATGTGCACACTGTGGGTGGATGTGATATCCAGTTTCTACAAAGGATCCACATAAAGTTTTAGAAAAGTCAAAAGTTCTAAACTTGTTCAAGGTCAGAATTTAAACATTTTTATCTAGTGCTATTATGGCATCAAGGCAATTAGCATTTTCAGAAGTAGAGGTCAGCAGTGGCAGCCCTGTGTTTCTCCCATAGTAAAGCTGCATAAGGCGTGTGTATGCAGAGTTTTGTTCACACCAGTTCTGCTTTTCTCCCTACACAAGTCAATGGCAATGCAAAAGCAGCTTGAAACAGCTTAGAAAGAGGTCAAATGCCGGTCAGAAGCACTTGTAAAGGAACTTGGGTAAAACCCAGAAATGTCTTAAACAGATCTTAAAAGCAAATTGAATTCATGCAAAAGCATCCTACACTTGCCCAACTACACAAGCCCAAAGTCACATATCAATGGTTTAACCCACATATCAATGGTTTAACCCCTTTGCTTGAATACATTTCCTCTAACTGGTTTACCTGCCAGTATAAATATTAATCACTATTGTGAGTCACACACTGCTGTCACACTACATACCCAGCTAGATGACTTCACTGTTTCCTATTGCAACCTTAAAGGTTCCTTAGTCAGGTGGACAGCTGACGATGTTATTCGTGAGTTCCCAAATGCCATTTGGGTCTGTGAGCTGAGGTGTCATATGAATAGTATTATAACACCTCGGCTCATAGACTCGAATTGTATTCATGAGCTCTCGAATGCTATTGTGTTTTATGACAGCTGAGAATGTCAAATGGGTGAAATGAGCCCCATGACGTCACGGCTCGCTCCGCCTATTTGTTTACATTCGGGCCTGAGATGTAATTTGCAATTTGTGTGCTGCGGGACTTTTTTTATTTCGCCGAGCATTGTTCATCGTGATTGACACTGGATTACATCGATCGATCCATTTTTTTTTAATAAAGAACTTTTTCCAAACGTGTGGTCTCTTTATTTACTTTTAACCATTTAGTGAATGAGTAGGGGTACAAGTACCCCTTACTCATTCAAAAGGGGGGGCCAGTGGCATCTGGGTGCCCCTTTAATATCAATTAGGGGGAACCTCGCACTTTTTTTTTCTCTCCTGCGCACTGTCAAAATGGCACCACAGTATTATAGGAGGAGGAGAAGAGAAGCAGTAGCACGTGCGGACACAATTTCCAAAAGGGCAAGAAGTTATACTTACATGTACTTATTTGACTATCGTAACACATTAATGATGGCAGTTTCATATGAGGAGTAAGGGGTTAAGGTCTACTTTAAGAGGCTTTTTTCATTAGCTGTGTTTGTCCAATCAGCTAGGAATACAGAGGAATCAGAGGTTACACTCACCTCTGCATCAAAGCGAGGATCCTGATATGCGTCACTTATATTTACTGGAAGACCCGTTGATGCAACTAGTTCTGCAATGCTGTTATTTATTAACCAGTCAGAATACGAAGACTTCTCCAGGCTGTCTTTGAAACTATAGAAACATGAAATGAAAAAGAGTGAAAATAAGGCTGTTATAAGGTCAGTGAACTGCCATATTAAGGTATTTCACTTACATTATAGTAGGAATAGATGAACAGGTGTTTCCTGTCCACTTAAATGCCTTGCTAACATGGGAATAAATAAATACATGAGACGTATGGGAACTTTGTCTTATTCCACCTACGTATAAAATATATTTCATTAAGCCTTTATATTCCCTAAATTAGGTTAAGATTTCTTCAAAATATCTGTCCTGGGTTTCTGATTTCATTTCCATCTCTGACTCATTGTTCTATTCTTACACATTGGCTTTACAATTAAGAAGTGTCTGTCAGCACCTTGGACAATCCCTATTCACTTACAGGCCTATTCATTGAAGATTCACTGGGTAATTGACCCCATGAGCATTCACCAAAACGCTCCCTCCAAAGATTCCATGGGAATCGCCCATTAGTTTCAGTCAATATGCACTCTGTTTTTTATGCAGGCAGCTGATAGATGAATTTGCATGAACAAAAGGTGAATGGTAATGGCATTTCTAAAGTACAGTACCGGTTGAAAATCTGTGGTAATCTTGGTAAATAATAGGAATCCTTTCACTCAATTGTCTCAATTTCTGTCTGTGCACATGAACACAGTTTCAGCACCATGGATAGCAATTCCTGGAAGAATGTCATTCTATTTCGTTCTTTTTTATTTCTGTTAAAGGAGAACTATGAGGTGAGTGCTTTTCACTCACCTCATAGTTCTAGCCGACCTGTGACAATGAGACTGTCACAGGTCGGCTCAGTAGATCGGGAGGTGAGCGAACACATACCGGCGTTCGCTCATCTCTCGATCCTGTCACAGCCCTCTGCCGTGACAGGGGAGGGGCTGGATTCCCCCCTCCGATCCGCCAGCGCTGACTGGCGGATCGGACGGGGAGAGGGCGGGTACAGCTGGCTCTGCCTCTAGATTGGCAGAGCCAGCTGTCACTCACGCAGCTGGGCGGATCCAGACATAATTGTCGGGATCCGCTTTAGCTGCGGCATCTCAGTATACCGCGAGCAGTAGAGCGCGGTATACTGAGCTTTGGGTGACGGGAGGACGTTAGTTTGTGTCCTCCCGTTACCATAAGGAGAACTATGGGGAAAAGCCTTAACCCCACAGTTCTCCTTTAAGAAAAAAAATACCTGTACGTACCCCCCTCCCAAAAAAAAAAACACTTCCACATTTCCCAACTACTCAAAATATAGGCAATGTTATCAAAGGGAACTCCATGCCCAGGGTTCCCTGGGAACATGAAACCATGCCCAGTGTAGAAATCTGACAGTGCTAAAGTACTATTTAAATAAAAGGCACTGTTGTGATGCCCATTTCTTCAATTTTGTCCTCAGTCACCTGGCTTGAGAAACTAAACAAATTGTGATGGGTGTCATTCCATGTTCCCACAATGTCTGAAGATTTCTCATCCAGTGCTGACGTCACCATGTCAGTCTTATTCTTAACATCTCTGAGGACTACCTACCACTGCTGAAAAAGTTCAGGAGAAGAAGAGGAGCAGGCGTGTCAAATCTAGGGATGGGTGAATCTGCCCAAGTTCAATTTGTGTGGGGTTTATGGGATCCTGTTTGAAATTTGTGAAACCCGAGTTTTGATCCTAAATTCTAGGCATTTTTATGGCTAAGAGGCAACCTGTTTTCAAAAATGAAATGGGGATCTGGGCATTTCAATAAAGCAAATATTTTCTTTTTTAAAATACCGTACAGCAAGGAGAGAGTCTTTTTAATGTGACTTCAGGGGGCTACATGCAAAAAAACACCAATATTTTAAACTATATGCTAGGGAGATGCCTTTAATATATGAGGGGCATTACAGAACCATGTTATTTTCACAGAGAGCATTAGCAACACAATATTCTGGCATAACATTTTTTGGATGTGAAATTAAATGTTAACTTTTACATTTAGCTTAGCTTAAATACAGCAGCAGCACCGCAATTCATTTTAATTAAAAAAAAGTTTTGGTTGTGATTGTAATTTTTTTTTAACCAAGTGGTTATAGGCATGAATTGACAATTGATGAAATTAACTGTACATTAAATATAAATACCATTACAAATAGAATAAAACGTTTTTGCCTATTTGCCTTCATTGCAAACATGTGCACATGCATTTTTAAATAACACAAATTAATTTCATATGAAAAAAATCTTGTACTGTATTCTTACTAATCCTTTAAGTAAATGCCTATGTCAGTGAAGAGTGAGAAGCGATCTTATGTAAGGTTATTCAGTCAAAAAGCCAGAAGTACATTTAGAAGAGCTGCAATGTAAACTGCCAACTAGATTCTCAAGACATTTAAATACTTGAAACAATGCTTTGACATCTAAGGGATGTGAGGAAATATTTGTTAAAAACTGTCACATAGTGTTTTGTTCAACCTTCTGAAAGGGATTCTAGGTTATGTAAGTAGTCATTGTGCTTCCAGTGTTGCTAAGCCTGAGGGTATGTTGGAATGTAAAAGCGTATAAAAATGTTGAATTAGAGCATGAAAAGGAAATCAAATGCCACTGAGGGTAAACATATAATCCTAACAGTGCCCACCACAGATGAGGTCCACCCCAGGTCACCAGTCAGGGAGTCCTCCATAGTACCATGGTTCTTCCACTGCTTTTAGCAGCTCTTACCACAAACACAATTATAGCAGCTAAACCTGATGATGAGTTCAAGCTATTACAGACAGTTCCATTTTTGGCAAGAGACAAAAGGATATTTTATAAGAACAGAATATCAATCCTAGCCCCCTGGCCTTTTTGGGTCTGATAACAATTGTAGCCACTACATACTCTGTTTTATGTATTCAATTACACATTCTAATAAGCTTTATTTGAAAATGTACCGTTCATTCATTTGCTCTAAATTAAAACATGTGTTGACAGGAATCCAGGTGCTCTTTTCTGAATTTTGAAGTCTGTGTCAGGAAGCACGTACGAAAGTAATTGCGCCTTGCACCTGCGCACGCACATGACATAGCCCACAGTGCCGGGTTGGGTCGTTCACCTCTGTGCAGCATGCGCGCTTCACGACGTGTGCGTGCATGCGCACCTCCCATGTATTGTGGTGCCAAACGGGCTATTTAAGCCCAGCATCTCCATGCCTACAGTGCTGAGTACTCTTCAGCTGTGTGCCTTGTTTTCAGAACCTGTGCCCTGTTGTTTGCCATTGTTTGCTGAAACCGGCTTGTTCCTGACCCTGCTGATCCTCTGATTTCCTGACTCCGGCTCGTTTGACTCAGACTACTCTTCTGCCTCCTGTCTGATTCTGCTATTTCTGCATGTTGCTGATCCTGGCCTGCTCTTCAACTATGACTTTGCCTCTTGATTCAGTAACTTTTTGCCTGCACGTTGCTGACCCGGTTAGCCTGACTTCGACTCTTCTCTGCATGCCTCTCTGCTGTGCATTTGTATACAATTACCCAGCACAGCAGCTACAGGAATTATGCCCAGCATCTAAATCAGCTTCTGGCACTCGTGCCCTACTGTGCCCCAGGTTACCTGTATCATACTCAGGCCTCCTGGGACCAGAGTTGCAAGAGAGGCTGCCATCGTCATCTCAAGCTCCATAACCCAGATAGCAAGGATAACTTGCCACAAACTTGTGTCAGGGTGAAATTTTAATTTTGTTAACTTGCTGCACACATTCCTGGCAAGTTGTAGACTTGCAGAACACTTGCAGCACAAGTTCTAGTTGACACTTTTTGAATTTGTAGCAAATTTGCTTGGCAAGTCTACAGGAAGAGTCCTGCAGGTCTTAGCAAGAGCTCTGCAAGCTCGCTGGTCTGGAGACTTGCAATGTAGACTTGCTGTAATTGTGCAACAAAATTGTGAAGCTTGGCAAGTCTGCAAGAGTTTAGCAAGTCATTTTCAAACTTGCAGCACAATTGCTTGCTATCTGGGAAGGTACATGACAGGCTGATGGGTTGCTACACTTTGTACATTTGCATGGAAGTTTGCACCAGTTTACAGAATAAGCTCTGTAAACTGGTGCAAACTGCCACCCTCCCCCCATCCCTTCCAACTGCACATTTTTTCTGCCAGGGCCAGGAATCCAAACCCTGTGTAGATTATATATCAGGTGGTGTTGAAACTTACACAGTGTAGATGGCACCCTCCTCACATGACATCGTTTGAGCCTGGCCACTAAATCCTTGGAGGGGGTAATGTGCTCCCCTCATAAACGAAAGTGTTTTTTTTTCATAGATCCAACAGAACAGTGGGGGAGTATATTTATGGTGAGTATAAGGCCCCGTTCACATATAGCGAATTGTCGCGCGATTTCCACCGCGATATCGCGCATTTTTGCCGCACGATATCACGAGAAGTCGCCGGCCAATGCTATTCAATGGAGCTGTCTTAACTCCATGTCGCTCGTCGCGGTCGCATGTCGCTTCTACCGGACCCTTTTTTCGGCGGATTTTGCTTTTTTTCTATGGAGCCCGACGGAGAAGGTCGCGCTACCGTCGCTGGAACGTCGCCCCGAAAGTCGCGCTATCCCGGCCGCTGCAAAGGTATGTCGCTATATATGAACGGGGTCTAAGTGGGTGGGGGGTGCTTTCAGGAAACTGTCACTTTGTGCAAACTGAAGGAGTCTTTTCAAAGTAAAAATATAGACAGCTACAAAAAAAAATCAAGAAAATGAAGAAATTGCAGCAAACGTCAATTTAAGGCCAACTTGGGCATCAATGTGGTGGACATTACTGCCTACCCTTTGAACTGAAGGAATCTCTGAATGGCATGTATTGAACATAGCTAGGTAAGGAAAATAGAGCAAATAGTTATTGCGTCTGTCCTTTCTGTTTTCTATTCATTCATTATACACTGTACAGTGCTGAAAAATTAGGACCGAGGAAACAAGAAGATCATCAGCAGCACGCTTTAGCTGTCATTGTGCTGTCTCTGTCCCTTTTGGTCTTTATCCCACACACTGGGATGTGACTTGTGACATGAAGACA